AATTTCCATACCAATGTTGGTCTGAAAATAGTTTTAGCATACAGACATCGAGGGGTTGAACTTTTTTGTTTTTTAACTAAGCCCTCAAATTTCAAACCAATTTTGGTTTGAAAATAGTTTCATGGTATTGACACAAAAGGACCAATTTTTTTCATTTTTCTAAACAAGCCCGCTTATTTTCAGACCAACTTTGCTATGAAAAATAGTTTCTGCATACTGACACATAAGGACCTAATTTTTTTATTTTTCTATGTAAGGCCATTATTGTTCAAACCAATTTCGGTCTAAATTATGATTTTTTTTTTTAGGTCCAAATGTTGGCCTTTATACAGACCAAAGTTGGTCTGAAAATGTTTTTTATTCAAACTAAGTTTTTTTTTTGTCTGAAATTAATATTTTTCAGACCAGGTATTTTCAGACCGATATTCCTGATCAATAACGGTTTGAATATTCATACCAATTTTTTGATCTGAAAAATAGCTATTTCTAGTAGTGCCATTCTAAATTATCAATTAAGACAAATCATCTATTAGTTAATGTGTGACATCATCACAGGTTAGAAATCTATTTGCCACCTAAGTAATTTCTAATGGAAAGCTAACATGTGATAATGTCACATGTTAAATAATGGGTGACTTGTCATCATTGATAATTTGGAGGAATAATTTGTCCCTTTATTTGTTTAAGGATGAATCTGTCCCTCCACTTCTATATTAAGGGGTGGATTTTGGGGGGTTTTGTCATTATTAAAAGTAATTAATTGTATTTCTTCGTTCATAGTTAGTTTTAAATCCATCAAAATAGAAAATAACAAATATTAGCAAGATGAAGCAGAAATAGGCAATCACTTGAATGGCCTAGTGGTAAAGGTCAATATTGGTTTTCAAATCTAAGAGTAGGTGTAATCCCCTACCTTTAGCCACGATTTTTCGTGCCTTTGGGGATGATTTCCGTGCCTTTGGGGATGATTTCCGTGTCCCCAAACATGTATTTTTTTGGTAGGGAATGTATAATTGCCTTGTTAAAAGAAAAAAAAGCAGTAAAAATTTATTTCTTGTATAGGAGATGTTAGAATAAGTGGAGTATTTCTATTTTCTTGTATGATTCCAGGCTAGCTGGTCTTGTAAGAATTCCTTATTGTGGAAAAGGTTCACTTGACAGAGGTTTCCTTCTTGGGTAAAGACTCTTTTGTTTTTGGTATTTACTCCTCTATACTTAGTAGAACTCTTCTGGTATGTTTTCATGTGTCACAATCATATACTATATGTAGAACTCATCAATTTTGGATACAACAGTTTACAATAAAGAAGGAATTGTATTTTGTAACTGTTTGGGCAGCTTCACGATTCTACATTGTAGATAATTTCAACTGTTTCAACACCTGAAAATCTCAAGGATGTTTCATCTAGGAAAACACTCCGACGCTTAAGTCAGTAATACTTAATATTCTAGAGAGAGAAGTTCTGAAGGAATAATTGCAAAGAGAGAAGTGTAGTGGAGTTAATACATTGAGTGGACGTAGTTGGGGGATACTTATAGCCCCATGTGCTAACATAAGTCCATACGTGTGAGCATCCGATTGGTCCACGTGTTAATACCCATGTGGGTATGCCTATACTAGTGTATGGATGTTGCTTCATTTTGGCTTATGGATGTATGACTAGGCTTATTGTACATGGCCCAGGTTGAATGTTGGGCCCATTGCCAACAGTAACTAGTGTAGATTTGAATGTTGGGCCCATTGCCAACAGTAACTAGTGTAGATTAATTGAAGTGGGATTGTTTATTAGCCTGAAGAATCGTCAATTGCAATTATATTATAATTGAGTTAATCACAAATTGCAAGTGGATGTAAATGGGTTAGAGTCCTCATTGCACTGATGTACTCTCATAATAAAATTCTTTTTTTTTATAGAAAAAAAAAAACTACTCACTATTGTCTTAAAGGTTTTTTTTTTTTTTAGGAGAAAATGGGTAAATAAGAATGTCAATTTTACATTTTTATTATTTAAATATATTAATTTTCTCAGTTTTTAAGTAAAAACATTAACTTTTAAGTTTTTTTATTCAAAAATGTTAATTTTTAGGTTTTTCTATTTAAGGATTAATTTGATGGTAATACTAATGTGACAAATGAACTTTTTAATTGGAATGTTTTGAACTTGATACCCTTAAATAAAAAAAGCCAAAAGTTGACATTATTAAGTAAAAAAGGTCAAAATTTGACATTCTTAAATAGAAAATATTAAAAGTTGACATCTTTAAATAGAAAATGTCAAAAGTTGATATATCTAAATAGAAAATGTCAAAAATTGGCATCATTAAATAGAAAATATTGATAGTTCACATCTTTAAATAAAAAAGTTGAAAGTTGTCATTTTTATTTAAAAATTAACAAAATTAACATTTTTAAATAGAAAAAAGTGTAAAGTTGAAATTCTTATTTACGCATTTTTTTTCTTTCTTATAATTTTATAGTATGTTTGAGTTGAGAGAAATGGAGAAGAGAAGAGAAGAGGGGAGGGAAAAAAATTTCTTTATTTGGTTATCATAAAAAATTGAAAGTTAAGGAATTATTTTATTTTATTTTTTTCTTTTAATTTATTTACTTATATAAATAAGGATAGATAAAGGGAATTAATGAAAATGAAAAAAATACAATTCTCCTCTCCCTTTCCTTCCATCCATTTCCCTCAACTTAAAAATACAGTTGATATTACCTTTTTAGAAAAGAAAAACCCTTCTACTTGGCATGGGCTTTTGAAGATACAAATACATTTAGTTAATAACTGTTTGGTATAATAATTTGAAATTTGTAGTTAATGATTTTTTTTATCAAATGAATCAGTATATTTGAATTATTAAATTAGGGAAAATCACTAACCATTAATTTTAAACCCTTGTATCAAACAATCTTTTATTTAAATATACAGTTAATATTACTTTTTAAGAAAAAAAAATACCCTCTTTCTTGGCATGGGCTTTTGAAGGTATAAATACATTTAATTAAGAATTATTTAGTGTAATAGTTTGAACTTTATAGTTAACGATTTTATTTGATCAAATAAATAAACATATTTGAATTATTAATAATAACAATTATTAATTATTAAATTAGGGAAAATCACTAACCATTAATTTCAAACCATTGTATCAAACAATCTCTCATTTAAATATACAGTTAATATTACTTTTTAAGAAAAAAATACCCTCTTTCTTGGCATGGGCTTTGAAGGTATAAATACATTTAATTAAGAATTGTTTAGTGTAATAGTTTGAAATTTATAGTTAACAATTTTATTTGATCAAATGAATAAATATATTTGAATTATTAATAATAAAAATTATTAATTATTAAATTAGGCAAAATCACTAACCATTAATTTTAAAACATTGTATCAAACAATCTCTTATTATAATTCTAATTATATATAGAGGAAATTAAAAATTAAGATGTTCTAATACTTTAAATATTAAAATTTTTTATACAATTATTTAAATATTTTTAATAAATATTTTGTATGTATTAATTTATTAAAAATATTTTAATTCTTTTTATTATCATTCTTGAAATTTTAATTGTAATAAAGTTCTAATTTTTGCCGATCTCTTATCTATTAGTAGATTTATTTGAATTTCAAGAATGCAGGACCAATAAAGAGCAATAAAATTTCCTGCTAATTTCCGAGTAACTTCCTGGACTCCTAGTAATTTGTTCCGTAATAACACAAATTTGAATTTTCAGACGTATACGGTTACCTTGTTTTGTGCGAAAATATATTCTCACTCCTCAGATAATTCCTTTATCCTCCCACTCGGATTCCCAGATATACAGAAACATCCATCAATGGAGGATTCTGACCACATACAGGAACTCCCAGAAGACAGCCGTCGGCCCACAAGTCAACCCAACAAGCTTTCCTTCAAAAAGTTGAAACGGTTTGACTCCATGGACCTCGAATCCTCGAAGATTCCTGGACGTCATCGTCACCGTTCCTCCAAGGTTTTTTGTTTCAGTTGTTTTGATGGTTTTTTTTTTTTTATTTTCTTTCTCTCAAATGTTTTTGAAGGATTTGAGCTGGTCGATCATCTTGCACTTAGCATTCCAGAGTTTGGGGGTGGTGTATGGTGATCTCGTCACGTCACCCCTATACGTTCTTCCGAGCATCTTCGCGGACGGTGTCAAGCAGCACGACGATATTATTGGAGTGCTATCATTGATTTGGTACACGTTGACATTGATTCCGATCGTCAAGTATATGTGCATCGTATTGTACGCTAATGACAACGGTGATGGTGGGATATGATCCATTTTTCTTCTCTGGTTATCTAATTTTATCCCCACGTAGGTTGAGATTGTTTTACTGATGTGTTTCAGGTGGAACGTTTGCTCTGTACTCGTTGATTTGCCGTTATGTGAAGGTGGGTTTGGTCCCGAGTCAGCAACCGGAGGACGCTGATGTCTCCAACTACCGACTGGAGTTGCCAAAGAATAGGAGCCATAAATTGGCGTCGGCACTCAAGTACAAGCTAGAGAAGAGCAACTTTGCTAAGTATTCCCTACTCTTTGCTACATTGCTTGGTACTTCTATGCTCATCGGTGATGGCGTTCTCACTCCTTGTATTTCAGGTATTCGTCAATATTCCATAGCCAGTAAAGTTCCCTTGTTTGTTCTTTAGCTTGCCAATTTGCACTATCAAGTTAAACACTCATGGCTTCGAAATTTTCCCAGTTTTATCAGCAGTTGGGGGCATCAAGAAAGCTACACCCAAATTGACAGATGGTATGCTTGAAGTGCTTGTTTGGATTAATTGTTTAAATTAGATGATAGTTGATAGTTGAAATTTGCAAACAAGAACTGACATTGATTTGTTGTCTATAAACAGATATGATTGTTTGGATATCAGCAGCCATCTTGGTTTTCCTTTTCATGGTTCAGAAATATGGAACAGACAAAGTTGGGTACAGCTTTGCTCCGATTATGGTTGTCTGGTGCACGCTCATCAGTGGCGTTGGCATCTTCAACTTCATAACATATGACCCAACTGTTGCCAAAGCTATAAACCCTATGTACATTGTAAATTATTTTAGGAGGAATCCAAAAGAAGCATGGATTTCCCTCGGCGACGTTGTCCTGTGCATAACAGGTTTACATTTTCTGTTTCATCAAGCTAATTTTCCTGTACTATATCTTTTAAACCTAGAAAAGGGGATTTGCTTAGGAATTGTTTTCGTTGATGCAGGAATTGAAGCTTTGTTTGCTGATGTTGGCCATTTCTCTGTAAAGTCCATACAAATATGCACGTACTTCTTTATCTACCCATCTGTGATGTTGGCATACACAGGGGAATGCTCCTACCTTCGTAAGCACCCAGAAGGTGGTCCTGATGCCTTCTATAAATCCATACCTGGTAAATAACCAATTCTTTTTTACTTTCTTCTTTCTTTTTATTCTGTTCTTCTAAATTTTGATATATGATTGACATGATGCAGATCCTTTGTACTGGCCAACGTTTGTGGTGGCTGTGTTTGCTTCAATCATTGGAAGTCAGTCTCTGATTTCAGGGACATTCTCTATAATCCAACAGTCTCTCTCACTTGGGTGTTTCCCCAATGTCAAAGTGGTGCGTACCTCATCTAAGTACGAAGGCCAAGTCTACATTCCCGAAGTCAATTACCTTCTCATGCTGGCTTGTCTTGGAGTCACCTTCTCTTTCAGGACTAGCAATAGTATTGGCAATGCCTATGGTAATTGCAACAGCCCTTTTTAGTTCATTAAGAAACATGAGTAGAATCCATAGCACTTAACAATCTAAAGAACATTGTTGAAACCAACGTGAATTGATATCTGTGTGTGCAGGGCTAGCTGTGGTGTTTGTATTGGTACTCACGTCATGTTTCATGGTGCTAGTGATGCTAATAGTGTGGAAAACCAACATATTTTTTGTAATCCCTTATGTTCTTGTCATTGGATCCTTGGAGCTACTCTTCTTAAGCTCGGTCCTTTACAAATTCCCACAAGGAGGGTACTTACCTTTGGCCTTCTCATCAGTACTGATTATTATAATGTTCATTTGGAATGCTGTATACCGGAGAAAGTACTATTACGACCTGGAGCAGAAGGTTCCCTCTACGAAGCTGGAAGAGATGGTTGCCAATACACTCAGAGTTCCAGGACTTGCCTTGTTTTACTCCGAAGTTGTTCAGGGTATTCCTCCTATATTCAAGCAGTATGTTGAGAACGTACCTGCATTGCACACAGTTGTTGTTATTGTCTCTATCAAGTCACTGCCAATCAGCAAGGTTCCAGTGGAAGAGCGTTTCCTTTTCAGGAGGGTAGAACCAAGGAAGCTCAACATGTTCCGTTGTGTGGTTAGATATGGATACATGGATTTACGCAAGGAAACAGAACCTTTAGAGATGATGTTAATCGAGAATCTCAGAGAGTTCATAAGGGAAGATATTCTGTTGTCTCAAAAACCTGTTAAGAACGTGAACATTGTGGAAGATGATGTGAACCAGATTGTTAACGAAGGGGATCAGCAAGAGGAGTTGGAAAGCGAGATACAAGTATTGAACCAGGCATCAGAAGCTGGTGTTTCTCACTTGATTAGCGAGAATGAAGTGATTGCAAGCAAAGGATCGAATATAGGGAAGAGGATATTGATAGATTATGCTTACAACTTCCTGGAGAAGAACTCGCGCAAAAGTCACAAAGCCTTCCATATTCCTCAGCAGCGCATGCTCAAAGTCGGTATGACTTATGAGCTTTAGGTCATGTTTGGTCCGAGGAATGAAAAGTTGTTGAAAATTTGCAGTCTTTTCAGGACTTCGGTTTTGTGAAGAAACAATACCCATAAAAGTTAATTTATGCTTTTTAGTAAAATGGCTCGGATTCGTGACTTCATTTTATAGAATGAGAGAATCATCCTTCTTTATTAGTAGTTATCACTTGAAGCAAAAAAAAGAATGTTTACATCAAAAAGTATGAAGTTAAACCTTGTTAGTTCACCTCAACTAAGTTTTTAAATCAAAACAGCAACTCAGTTTGGTTTACAAAATGTAATAACAGAAAGTGATGAATGCAGCAATGCCACTTAAGATACAGAGTCGGTCTAACCTGTTTTCATTTCTCATCTTCACCTCTTTCAACTCGCTTTGCACTTTCGAGTACAGGTGGCATGACTCAAGAGCTTCACTGTAATTTTTACTCCGCCTGCAACTCAGGGCTTTCTTAAGAATAAACAAACTGTTTCTTCCATTAACATGAGCACCTTCCATGTCTTCCAACTGCATGCTCAGCTCTGTCAATTTGACAGTCGTTTCTGCGCCCTCTCCCTCGGTTTGTATGACCCTAAACTTCATGATAAGGTTGCACTCTACTACTTGGCAAGGAAGGATGTCTTTCGCAGGAAGAACTGATCCAAACCGTATTAAAAAATCTTTTTCTGTTGGCCAATGCCTCTGCCCACTAAGAGGGCACCAACTGGCAAGATTAGCAGCTTGTTTTACATTTTTGTTTACAACAATCCAACTAAGCCGAAGTCCATCTCGGAGCTCTCTCCATAGTTTCCCATCCTTTCTTTCTCTTTCCATAGATGCAATTGAAGGCAGACCATCAGAAACTGAAAGGGTAACTTCTTCTTCACTGTTATTCTCTCTAGCAGCATAGTTCAGAAGATCAATCCGAAATGGACAGTTGTAAAACCAACCATTGAATCCATTTGCATTAGGAATGCCCCACAGGACTTTTGAACATATTGTTTTATCTTTATACCTAATATCCACTATGGAAACAAAATCTGATGGAGAAATACTTTCAAGCTCATCAGTGTCACCATAGTATTCAGCTTCATTCCATTCTTCAGGGAAGTCAAGATAATCATCCCATTGATACTCAGTTACTTCCTTGTTAACTATAAGTGGGAAACAATCTGCATAGAACTTTCTGAATCCACCAATGGATGATATCAAACTTTTTACATCTTCGCTGTTGGTTGATGGCCACATTGAAGAACATGCATTTTCCCATAGTGTCTCTTCTTTTGAGATTGAACAAAAAGCTGCACAGACACATGCAGCACTGGCCAAAGTTGGGCCATCAAGGCGCCTCAATATGTCATAGAAAATGTCACTAGTCAACGATGCTGTGCTCTCAAATGGTGCAACCGACATTGCTATAGAGACCTCTGATCTACAGAGATTGAATCATAGTTGGTTATTAAGTACCATAGCATTTTCAAAGAGAATTTCAGCAAAAAGAATCCACTCTATCAAATTCAAAGAGGAGAAACAGAGAAGCCAACTAACTAAAGAAATTCTCACCAAACTGGAATAAATTTCGTAGTGGTATGAGATAGCTGAAGAGAGTGATGTTGGCACTATTCAAGAAAACTTTCATTTCTAAAATAACAGCTTTGATTTGGCCAAAAAAATGGAAAAAAACATCTTTGCTGTAACTACATGGTGCAACCTACACTATGATAACTTTGTTCCCCTAACTGATTCAAGTTTTAAGACCATGAATAAAAAGAGGAATGCTTCATGGAAACGACATAGAGAATTTGAGCAACAATGTATAACTCCATCACAATCACAGCATGAAAAGCAACACCATCTTGACACAACAAAATTTGATAAACGACTACAAGCTCAATTAGAGACAAGCTACGAGTTAGACACCAAAGATCCTTATCATACAAAGTCAGAATATAAAAGCCATCAAAATGTGCAGTAAGAAAGAATCCCAAATCCATCTCCAACTTAAGCAATAACAAATTATTCACAAATTCACAAAATAACTATCCACTTTGCTAAATGAGGCAACCCAAGTTCTCAAAAACTCAATTATAAACCATCATCGTGGAAGAATTGATAGATTAGTTATATTCATAGCAAAATCCAACTCAAAACCATAAGAAGAGAGTTGGAACCCAGAATCTATTATCCAAATTATCTCCATAAATCCATGTAACAGATGAACTACTGATTCCTTCCTAGTACATCAGAAAGGGAAGCTCTTAACATCAAAATTACAGACTTTCTCATCATTGTAACATTAGTTGACCTACAGAACAAAACCGGCTCTTCACCCAAAAACATAATGCAAAACAAATCAGGCAAAGACACAAGTAGGAATTCAGGGAGACCAAGAAAACGATCAGAGAAAGAGAAAATTGGACACACCTTTTTGCCATGTATGCTAAATCATGAAGATAATGTTGCAGTGTGAGGAGACGTATATGATGGAAAGTGTTTGTCTGAAAATCAGAGATTAACGATTCAGGGGTCGCTTTCCTGTTCCGCTTTTTGAAAGGTTTCTCGGGTGCTGTGCCGAGTCCTGTTATAACCACTTGCACAATTGTAAAGTGAGCAGTGCTTGGGGCACTCGCTTTCGGCACTCTCCGGCCAACACTTCCCTTTTCATTGGGCCACGTAAGCCTCTTTAAAGCTTTCAGCGCAACTTCTCGAAACCAAAATAACGTGGCCCAATAAAAGAGAGTGTTGACTGGAGAGTGCAGGAGGCGAGTGCCCCTAGCATTGCTCTTGTAAAGTTAGTAATATATTTTTTGTTTTATAAATTAATTATTTATCTATTCTATTCGAGCTATAATGATATGTCTCCTTAAATTAAATTGATAAAACTTATAATTTAAGAGATTAAGAAAGAAGATTTTTTAAGACATTAATGAAACTCAAAATTTAAATCAAATAAATTAAATATCTTAATATTTGAAAACGAATTACTTAAATAAGAAAGTAGAGTTTGATAAATAAATAATTTAATAAAAATAAAAAGAGAAATATTAATGATCTCAACCGCCGGTTGTGCTGGTGGCTATAATTGCGCCTGCCATGCTATGTCTGAATCTTCTCTTTCTATTTTGTTTTTTGGGTAAACTCTGCAGCATTGACCAAATCATTATTTCACTGATATTTTCCCGACGATTTCTGGATTTTTTTTTATTTTAATTACATTAATTATTTTTTATCTTTCATTTTATTAATTATCCTTATATTTTATTTTTATCTTATAAATCATCTTTTATAATTTATTTTTTATTTTATCTCGTATTTATATATATTATATGATTTAAATTTAAAATTTTTTATTAAATTATATAGATAATTGATGATTATTTATGGATGGTTGATTATTGTGGTTCGGTAATGGTGCCGGTTCGTAGAGAGGTGAGCCTGAAAATTGACAATAAAAAAAATTTGAAAATCAATGATATCGTAATTGATGGATACGATTTGATTAGATTGTAGATTTATTTGATTAAAAATTTAATTTAATTAATTTTAAATGTTTTAAACTTTAATTATTAAATTTAAAAATTAAAAAACCCAATAACTCTTGTATATATAACCAAAATGTTTCGATGAAAAAACTTTTTATATAAAAGTTTTTTAATGGTTGTGAGATTTTTTTAAAAAGGTTTTTTTGACCACTTTTTATCAAATTGTTTATTTATCTAAATAAATATTTATTTTTACAAATTAAAATTAATAAAATAATAATTAAAGAATTTAAAAAAATTAAAAATATGAAAATAATTTTTAATTAAAACCCAAATTTGCATAAATGATTACTCTTTAAAATATAATCAAAACTTATAAAACTCATATATTTTAAGTTACTTAATGATTTTTTTGAACAAAGTGTTAAGGTGGAATTCGAATTTTAAACCCATCAAAAAAAAAAAATTACACTTTTAAGGTGATTTGAAGGTCACTTGACCCAAGGTTCAAGTGCAAGTTACTTAATGATTATTAAAATTTAAATTTAAAATTTTAATTATTCAATAGTTCAATTTTGATTATAACTCAAACTTGAACCATTACCACTTGTACCGGTCAGTCAAGAACCCCGTAGGAGGATTTTTTGCACACGAGATTTTCGTTTTTTACCCACTAAATTCCCGAGCAATTTTTTTTTTTTTTGCCTAAATTAGGCCCTTTTTTACGTTATTTATTTTAAAAGAGGACCTTTAATTGCTTAATTTGATCATTCCAGGACAGATTCAATTAATTCTATCATTTTCCTTTTTGGTATGTAATTATTCTAATACTCCAAACCACATTTTTATCTTTATGACTTCAATTAAGTATTGTTTGATTAACGATAATATATTAACAAAAACACGTTACATAAAAAAATATTTTACAGTTTGAATTACAAAATGTTAAACATTTTATTACAAGAACCTCATGAAATGGGGAAAATCCATCCATCCATCCAATGATTAATATTTATACTACAAAATACCGAACTTGTATATTAAAAATAAAAATAAAGAGTTTAATAAGGGATAAGATTTGCACAAGGTATGAAGTGGTTTTTGAAACCTCAAGATTTTGAATTCTATGTAAGGTTTCATTGACATGTTTTCTTTTGCAATTAGTATATGTATTATTTTAATAAGAATAGTGCCTATTTATTTTATCTCTAAAGATTAAGACGAAAATTATCTCAAAATGCTTATTAAAAATATACTAAAATATCATATTTTTAAAGTATAAATTAAAGTTTTTTTTTTTGTCATATCCTGTAGTGCTTTGCTAAAATTACATAATTTTAAAATAATTTTTCTCTTAGTATTTAAGAAGTAAAGTGGATAAATACTAACTTTTATTTTAATATATTAGTTTTTAGTATATTTAATAATGAATTATATAACAAAAGCAAAAGTTCTTTACTTTTTAAACTCTTTATCATTCATTTTAAGATTTAAACTTGAAATTTTTAATATGAAAAATTCTGATAAATTGGTTGGTGGTTCAATAAGGAATTCATTCAAGTATACTACAAATTTCATGCATCTAACATGGTAAAAATCAATGTATTGAATCTATTGATAATAACTGTTAATAAATCAAATCTTTTGAAGACAAAGATTTTAAAAATCTATACCTACCACCGACCGGCGGAAAATTTAATTTTTCCATCGTAAGGTGAACGAAACAAAGGGGTAAAGTTAATTGGTGAGGAAGGTAAAGTGGGGACATATATGTTAAATGTTAACCCTCATTTTGATACAACCTCAGTTGAAATTCTCTCCATTAAATAGCATATATAGTCACCAAACTTTAATATTAATAAACTATAGATAATTAGATATTATAGAGTTTGAATTCCTTGAAGATACTTTATTTATTTATTTATTTTTTTTTTTTGAACATTTTATCATGGGGTCGGCTCGAACCGTTGTCCTGGGAGAAGGGGACATGAATCTTACAAGCGTGGTTAGAGCCACTTGGTCCGAAGGACCAAGTTCTTGGTGGTTTATTTAGGGATACATTGAAGAGATTATATATTTATTCTTGGTGGTTTGTGATGAAGACCAATTATTAGGTCGTAACCGTGAGGGAGAGATCAATAGAGGATATTTTTTAAGAGATAGGTGTAGAAGTAAAGGAGAAGAAGCAAACTTGGTTGACTTTCATGGCCTTTTCGATGAGTTGTCCGAGAAAATGACTTCACCGGAGTGGCATAGTTGAACTTAAATGAAGGGTAGGAGGGATAGATATAGGTGACCTAATCAGTGTTAATGAGCATTAAAGTATATATTATGGACATTGGACAAGTAAAGAAAGCTACGCTAAGTGCAAAACTCTATGTTAAACCCCTATAATTATTTTAGATTTTTTTACTAAATTTTTAATTTTTTTAAATAAATAAGTTTATAAACTTTATAAATTTAACTTCTCTTTTATACGGTGAGTATTGTTTATGTAAATAAAGTATTAACATGTTATTACTTATATAATGAATATTGACATTATTCACAAAATTAAAGCACATTAAATGTAAAGCCTACTATAAAAAAAATAATTAAATTATTTAAATTGACAAATTTAAAACTTATTTGTCATATTAAAAATCTAAGAATTTAATAAAAAATTAGAGATAAATTTGAGAGTTTGACATAAAATTTTACCAAAAACTAAATATACTTTTAGGCAGTGGCGGACCAAGAAATGATTAAGAGTAGAATTTTTTTTTTTAAAAGTTTAAGCCTTTTTTGTCCTAAAAAAAATTTAGAATAATGCCTTTAACATTATTATTATTTTTTAATCTTCAATTTAACCCCTTTATTTTTTTGATATTTGAACCTGTGATAGAGCCTATGTTCAACGACTTTTACATGTGGTTCTGCCATTGCATTCTGAGGGGTATGAGCCTACTGATCATTTACTATTCAACTCTCTGCCTATATATTCCGGTTGTCAGTACCGTGACGGCATCCATTTGACCAGCCGCAGCCGGCGGTGGAGAAGATCAGCCTATCAGATACATGAGGGATTGCCGCAACCTTGCAATTTCCACCATTTACTTTAAAGTGAACTGAAAATTCTATGCTCGAAAACTGAAAACTCTGCTGCTAAACACAAACATTTCTGTTTAACTTTTTTTTATTAACGTTTCTTTTTAATTACAATGCAAGCAATGTCAACCCTTTTTTCTCATTACATAAATCAAATCATTATTAGCAATCATTATAAAGATTTTTTAGGTACTTGAAAACCATTCCGTAGTGATCAGTGCAAAGATAATTAATTAGTGGGTTCCAGTATGAGAAGTGAGAAACACCCAACAAAAGCAGTGGTATCAGCCCACGCCCGGCCCACCGCATTGAGGGGCTTAGGCCCTTAAGTGACTTTATGGTCCTCAAAGTTCAAGGCAACGAGGAGTTAGATCCCTAAGCAATATGGTGAAGAGGAGTTATCTTGTAAAGCACACAAATATTTTAGATCCTACTTGTATAATCGGATCTATTGTAGAATCTCTAGGGGTTTTAACCTGAATCTTAAATTGTACTATATAAATTATTAAATGAAAGCTCATTAGATCCTGCGGCAAGGGACAACCCCATTTAGTATTTGAGTTTTGCAATTTAGTT